TATAAGGGCTTTTCAAGGCTGCGATGGTGTCGGAGATGTTGGAGGCTTCAAGTCAGGGTACTGCAAAAGAGCCAAGAAAGACATACATCAGATTTAAAAAGTTTCATCCTTTTCCACTAAAATGAGCCTATTCATGTGATATTCTGTGAAAAAAGGTTTCAGGAGAAGAGTAGAAACATCACCGATGCATATGGAGAGAGAGGTCTTGAATGAGATATTGGTTTCGCTTCTGTTTTGGCTGCTTCTGTGATTACTTGTGCAGTGGCGGCTTCAACCGCTGGCTCTGGCTCTGAGATTACTTGTGCAGTGGCGGCTGCTTTGATCGCTGGCTCTGGCTCTAGCTTCGGCTCTGGCTCTAGTTTTATCTCCTCTGGCTTTGTCTCTGGCTCAGGTTCTGGTTTAGCGATGGTGGTGGTGGTGGTTGTAGCTGCTTCTTCTGCTACTGCTGCTGCTGGTGCGGGAAGAGCTTTGCTGCTTGTTGATGCAGGAAGAAGAGCCTTTCCAATTTCCTGTTACTCAATGTTGAATTATTGACTGTTTCATCACTAATCAATGGAGATATCTAAAAAGTTACTTTACCTTTAACTCATCAACAAGTTCTTTAGGAGCAACTTTTGTGTTCAAGAACTCATCCACTTGTTTTAGAGTTTGCTTCCGGTCCTGTAGAGGATATAAAGAAAGTACCATCAACACATCACCAATTCCAAGAAACAAAACTTAAACCGAATCTCGGCGTAAGAAGAACTTGCCTCAGCGAATAGGAGCTTCTTGCTTTTTTCTGTAATTTTTTTGTATTTTATTTTTTTATTTTATACTTCGCGTTAATTATCCTATTTCTTTTTTTTTTTTTTTTTTTTCCTTTTTTCAAGAAACAAAACTTAAACCGAATCTCGGCGTAAGAAGAACTTGCCTCAGCGAATAGGAGCTTCTTGCCTGCAAGCTGAACAAGCGCCGCTGATCCTAGTAGTTGGAGTATAGTTTCAACCTGTTGGGATGATGACAGAGATGAGATTTTAGAAGTTACTCCAAGAAGATGGAGAAAGAGAGATAAAACAGACCTCTGTAAATGCTAAAACACTTAATCCAGCAGCAGCAGCTACTCCAAGAGCAACAGAGACGCCACCAGAACTCTCCTGTATACATTTACGTTTCTCCTCTTTTGAAACCATTTCCCAAAATGTTCATTACGGAACTTAAATGAATGTAAAACTGTGTATACTCACGCCAAATACACCGCTGATACCATCTGACAAACTGCTCAAATCAAGACTGAGATTCTTCTTTGGCTCTATCCAAGGCAAGCCGCTATTCTGCAAAACCAGAAAAAAGAAAAGAAAATCACAATTTTGACTTGAAGGAGCAAAGCAATGTGGGAAGAGAGGAAGAGGAACACATACCAACCAGCCTCTAGGTCCCTCTGCACCATCTTTAATGGCGTAAGCTGATTTGAATCCATTTAGAGCCACTAGTTCTGCAACAAGCTCGGCGTTTCCATCAAACCTGGCTTTCCATTCACACAATTAGACTGTATTAAACTAACTATTGACAGCAACAATGTGTAACATCTAAAATGCTACTCTGTTTCTCTCCAACTACAACGTTATACAGATATTTAAACAGCTAATGAACAATATTTGTAACTTTCATCCAATAAAAAGAGAAAAACTTTGAGAGTCCAAGAGCCTTACTTGTCCAGAATGTACAATGTGGTGTTCTCAGGATCCTTAAACTTCAAGGCAAGCTTCTTCAGAAAACCAGGCTTGTCTTCTCCGTTATAAACAGTCGTAACCGTTTTCTTACCTAAACCTTTAATGTTGGGACTCCCCACTTGTCTGAAATCAGCAGTGGCTCTTATGTCAAGCAACTGAGCATTTTCATCAGTACCCAACTTGGTATAAGCACTCTTAGCAGACTCAACTCCAAAAGATTTCGGCTTTTTGTTCAGAACCTGAGACAGAACAAACGGAACAGCCAATGCAGCAAATCCACCGGCAATGACCAGAGGATTGTCCGTGACGAAACTTGATATCCCATCGATAAAGCCGTCAGAATCAAAAGATGACGGAGAGGTCATAGATTGTTGCAGAGCTTCTTCGTACGTCAGAGACTTAGCAGGAGCTGTTGCACTGCTGAGAACAGAGGTTAGAAGAGCGAGTCCGCCATTGAAGCTCTTAAACAAGCTTTCTTGTGAGATTGGTTTCGGTGATTTCGGTGGAAAGAGATTAGGGAGCGAGAAAGGCTTTCGTGGTTCTGATCTTTTCTCGGATAAAACCGACATAGGGCTAAAGCTAGCGGTTTTCAGAGCTTCCATGTCTCTCTCTCTCTCACTCTTTCTCTTTCTACTGGCCTCTCCGAATCATCAAACTTTTAAGAAAGATCAAAGAAGAAGAAGAAGAAGTGGAAGAAGAAAGTGTGAGAACTAGCCTGAAGCTGTTTCTAGTAAGCTGACGTGGACTGTGTAATCAATCCTAGCCACCGCTTGCTCGACACGTGGCATATTGGATGAGATGTCTCTTGATCATGTTTTGGTGGGAGGAGGAGAGCAGAGTGACATACTTATTAGTACCAAAATTGCATGTCAAATGTGTGGCCACAGAACATTAAGGTTCTGCATATTTACCAAAACGCCCTTTATCTAGAGAGACTAGACTAGCTACAAAAGGTTCCTCAGCATTTGATTTATAGTAAAACATTAAGAAAACAGAAGAGTGTGTGCAAAGTAAGAAACTTACAAAAGATCAAAGAAATAATCTAAACCTTGTCCGATTTCCCAGATGGAAATGCCGATACCCCAGAGACGAGCATTCTCAAGGCGTACAAGGATTGAGATCAGTGTAGGATAGAAGACAGCATGCTTCATCTTCTTATCATCTCTATACATGAAAAGATGCTCGCCGCTCTCTTTATCCCAGTGTATAGCTGGCTTGTGTTTCTCGAGCAGCGAGAGGTAATCCCTTCCGGTGATTGCTCCTCCGCCTCCTGAATCTTGATCACAAGAAAACAGTCTTGTTTCAGTTAGTTTTGAAAAAAAAAAGGCGGGAAGAGAACAAAGCTTGGATGGTTTATAATCATAAACATATACCTCCAGAGATTACAAAATCGTTGCCGTAGAAGTTGATACCAAGAAGAACTTTTCTTGCCAGGTTTGTGTCTATGTTGTTGGATGAACCAAGTAGGAGCTTGAGGGTGAGATCTATCCACTTGAGAGGAGCATTAGGGCCAGGGTTCTGGGAGCTTGAGAAATCGTAGGTCATTAGAGAGAACCCGTCGACCGAATCTTTCAAGAAATGAAGATCTTCAGGTCCAAAATCGTACATTTGAAGCTTCTCTGAACGAGGTGGACCAACCACATACATGAACTGCATATGTTGCTGGTTATTCCTCGGTGAGCTCGTGGAGTGAAGAGCATCTCCAAGTTGTTTAACGAATTGCAGTGCCTAGAAGAAATGAATACACAAATCCCATGTAAGGCTAAAGACTTGTGAGTTATGACCATGAGGGTTTATGCTTGTAATACCATTTTCCTCATGTCCGGGTCATGCAAAACGCCATAAGCTGCCCACCTTGACCAAGACTCTAGCACGATACCATCATATTCTAATTCCCTAGAGCACAAGGCAATTATGATGACAAGCTCTAAGTTCAAAACTTTCATCTTTAGACTTTGAGAGACACTTACTTGCACTCAGTGACAATAAGGTTGATAGCTTTTGCCCTTAGTTTCTTTTTTCTAAGCAGCTCCCCAGGAATAGCTTCTAAAACAACTCTTGGCAATATCTACATGACAGAGAATCAAAATTCAAACCATCAAAGAAGGACAAATAAATACAGAGAAGCGACCGCATTTGTTACGCTACCATCGCATTTCCTCTTGATCGAAGCTCTTGGATCCATCCCTTATCAGCATTATGTCTCCCTTCCAAAACCAATCCATTCCCTTGGCTATTAGACAATCGAGAAACCGGAAATGTCACAGACTTTCTCTGGAAACACGGAGATAATGTAAGCATTTGGAACTGATATATACCTCTTGAGATCGTACCATACCGGTGATAAATGCGTAAACTTGGAGTTGAATGTCTTTGCGATATCATAGCCTTTAGAGTTCCTGCACAGCATTGGTAGCATATGAATCCAGTAAAGATTTCAAATTTCAGTATCTAACATCTGAAACCTACCATGGCGTAATGTAAGCTAACACTGGATAATCATAGTGTCTAGTTGACGAATTCTCTGAAGCCTTGGAATGTTCCTGAACACAAATTGATAGCAAACTTGATTCAAATTCATCCTAAAAAGTTTTCAGCTTTCGTAAATGGATTCCCAACATTGTACTCACAGTGAGGATTTCTTGGAAATGAATATCGGTTTTAACGAGTCCCTTGTGACGTATTGTTGATTCCGTTTGGACGACGACTCGATCAGCGAATTTGACTTTGTATACGACCATCGAAACAGCGGGAATAGCGATGAAGAAGATCACGAAAATGGCGATGAGCCTCCGATCGGATTCTGGCTCTCCGACCTGACCATCTCGCGATTTCGTCTCGTCTCGGTTCTTCCGCCGTTCCGAATCCTCCGTCGCCGGTGAACGTCGCTCGCGCCTCCTCGCCATTGAGCTCCTCACGGCGGTGGTAAGAACTAGTGAAGAAACGACATCGTTTTCTGATAAGACAGGAGATTTGCTTTTGGTGTAGTGTAATTCCATATTTACCCTTTCTTCTCGTCTAATATTACGTTCAAGACCTATAAGAAGATATCAGAGACAGAGAGATGCTTCAAGATGAAAAATTGGAAAAAGAGAAGGGTTTTATGATTTTTATCGTTAAACCCCAATCCACCGGAAACCAATTCTTTCGAAGAAGAGACTGAAACGAAGCGATAAGGTGAGATTTTTGTTTTCCTACGCATCATCTGAAATTCGAATCTCATTTTTATGTTTTCCGTCGTAGAGATTAAAACATTTCTCCGGTGAAATTCACAGTCTTTGAGTCTCACAAATGGAGACTAAGCTTCTGCTTTCTGCTCACAAACCCTTGTTCGTCTCTTGCAACTCTCCGTTCAATGAAAAACCTCACCTTTCCGTCAAATCCCATTTACCCATGTCCACAATTCGAGCTGCGAGGTCTCAGTTTTTGGGGGAAGGATTGATTTTGGGGAACAAGTACGGGTTTTGGAGCGCTTCTAAGAAGCCCCGTGTCGTTGTCGAGCCGGTGAGAGCTGCTGTGAAGAGAAGGAAAGAGCTTACTTTCGATAACGTTGTTCAAAGAGATAAGAAGTTGAAACTGGTGTTGAACATTAGGAAGATTCTCGTGAGCCAGCCCGATAGGACGATGTCTCTTAGGGGTTTAGGTAAGTACAGGAGAGATCTAGGGTTGAAGAAACGTCGTCGGTTTATAGCTCTGCTTAGGAAATACCCAGA